GATGCCGATGTAGGTAACGACGATATCAGGAGGGTGGAGGTAGCGACGATGTGAAGAGGTTGGTGGTTATGGAGGCCTACCAGAAATTGAAGAGAGTAAAGAGGGAGACCGAAGAGATTTGGGAGAAATAGTGACTGAATATTTGTAGAGGATTTTAGGGTTTCATAGATAAGGAAATCTACTACTGTAAGTTACAAATGATATGCAAGTGTATACATTTGCATTGCAATCTTAATGAGACTGTACATGGTGTTATAATAGTTGTACTCTTAATTTTCAAGAAACATGTAATATACATTATATATATATATATATATATATATATATATATATATATATATATATATATATATATATATATATATATATATATATACATATTACTGGAGTACCCACGCGATGCTGCGGTATTAGTTCATTTCGGCTAATACTATCTGAACGTAGATTAGTTTCATGTCTACCCTTTGTTTGCATTCGGAATAATGTTATATTCCAGAAAAAATATACAATGCATCGAAAAATAAAATGTACCAATAAAATAAATCTATGATGTATATTGTTTTGGTTGAAAGTAAAATTATGTGTCTATAGCATTTCAAAAATATAAGTATGTTAATTACATATAAAATTTAACGAAAATAAACCATAATGATAATATCTTAATGAATTTAGTTTTCTATAAGTTTAACTTTAATATACCTTTTAGTTATAAATAAGGATAATCTTTATTTCGTATATTTTATCATGCACCAATATATATTAGATGGTTTGTGTGGTCATTTGAATTTGAAATGGTAAATTCAAGAATGTATAAAGATCATTTTAGAAAAATATTCGAGGTACACATCATACGCTTATTTAAATCTAGATTGGTAATTTCGAAAATAATTGTTATTTTCACAAATATCCAAAAGCTATGCCAAATTTAAATAGCTTCCATAATAATATATTCATTTTATAAATAGTACTCCATAAAATAAGATAACTAATTTGATTTATTAATTTGGCTTTGTTTTATAATAACAAGTATCCCAAAGACGGATATATATTGGGTTTTATTTAACTTGAATAATATATAAGTAAAATAATGTGTTTTAAACTCAAAAAACGTGGAGACCTATTTGGTTAGGATATTAAATTGGACAAAAAAAAAATCGTGAATCAACTTAAATAAAAATATCTTTGAAGTTTAAATAGCTCTCCAACTATCTTTTGTCTAGACCCTACCGAATAGACTTTAAGGCTGGAGTGAGTGGTTCCGCACTCCCTCATGAAACAACAGTGATACATAGACATCACATCACCCATTACCACAAAAGTGTGATTTCATACCACACCCAATGAGTAGTACTTGGGTATTTTAAAAAAAATATATTATTAAATAAAAGGGACCAGTAAGAGGGAAGGAAGAAAAAGAACCAATCACATTGCTCGAAGGTTGTTTGAAGGAGTGTTCCCTTAAAAGAGTGCAGTACGTTCTCTACTGCATTCAGAGGGGTGTTTGTGTTTATGTAACAAGGGGAGTGCGGTCCAAGACGTACCCACTCCCTTTGGTCTAACTTCCCTTGTAAGAAAAATATTTATGACTTTGCCTTCCCAATGTATAAAAATGTTTTAGTATACTTTACATTCCCAATGCATGAAAATGTGTTAAGGTGCTATATAAATTCAACAATATTAGATATTATGTGTGTAAGATTATCGTTATACAATTCATTTTAATGTTATATATAAAACTTGTTTTTTATTGAAACAAAGCACGTTTGCAATTGTGATTATGATTCATTTTAATGTGATAAGATTCATGTTTTAATTATGAATATGTTATTTTACTTGATTTCACATAATAAAAAAATTACAAAAATCATTGTTTATATTTTTTGGGTTTATATGTTAGAAATTTAGCAAATAATACCTGAAAGTCAATGTCCACACACACACACATATATATATATATATATATATATATATATATATATATATATAAAGTACATAAAACATATAATCATTTAGTCTTATTTTTGTTTATCTAAGAGAACACCTAATTTAATTAGCATAGCGTATTTTCATACCCAAGGAAAATCAATAATTTTCATACTCATAATGAAAATCGATAATTTTTATTAACTATGAAACCCAAAAATATTGCAAGAAAAATTGAATTAGCTTCAAGTTTGTAAAACTGTAAAAGTGAATATCCAAAATAATAGTTTAAGACAGTTCATCTTGTGGATTATGTAGATTTGTAATTAGTTTATGAAAAAATGGTGATTAGTAATACCATAAAAAGCTATGCTTAGAACTCATCAAGCATATTTTGGTATCCAAAAAAATATTATACATAAAATCTATTTTAGATAACAGGAAATTACAAATTTATAAAATTTTATTTACATCTCACTAAAATTCATCTTATTACTTCACTTCAAAATCTACACATTATATTAGAATAATAAAAATATCAAAAAATTAGCTATGCAACAAATAACTTGAACATTAAACAATAGATTATGACTAAAGTAAAAAATTTAACATTATAATAAATAAGTCAAAAAACAAATATCCTCAATTATTGAAAATTAAAAAGTAGATTATGACTCAAGTAACAAATTTAACATGATGAAGTAAATAAATCAAAAAACAAATATCTTCAACTAATAAACAGAGAAACAATGGTCATCATATTAGAAACAGAGGTAGCTTTGAGTGGAGACCGGATCGACATGGTGGCGGATTAGTTGACTCGCTTGTGGTGCGTTGGAGGTTCCTCACAAAAGGTGTCTTGGGGGTGGCTTACTAGTGGCGTACCGGCTGAAGATGATGGTGGTGATAGAGGGAAGTGACTTAAGGATATGGACTCGAAGATAGGTTTCGTTTAGTACGAAGGTGTAGGTTGCGTAGGGTAGTGCACGATATTACTTTTGGAGGTGTTGGATGAGTACATCTGAAGACATTGATTATAGAGGCGTCGACTGGGTTGGGACAAATAGAGGAGGGAGCTGTTTCATGTAGAGTAAGTGTAAGTATGGCTGATAAGTATTAATGATTTTAGGAGAGGTGCATCGTATATATAGTGTGATATTCTATTTTTATTGGTTAGATTTGTTTCACATGGATCATGCACAACCAAGTTTTAATCATATCCATTTAATTCTAATCTAATGGTCCATGTTGTATCTCCTTGCTTTTAAGACTTTGTCCTAAAATTTGGTGGGGCCAAATTATATATGTATTATAAAGTAATATATATATATATATATATATATATATATATATATATATATATATATATATATATATATATATATAGACACACACACAAATTCACTTGCATAAAATGTCAAATAGGCAAACTTAGCTACTTACTTAACGGGTACATTAAAAAATTATGGGTACATACTACATATATAATAAGGATAAAACTGTTAGATTGGACACTATGGTATTCAAAAAAGTTTGGATATAGTCCAAAAAGTTTTCAATTTGTATGGAATGTCCAAAATCAAAGTTTTTTTTTTTTTTTTAGTTTTTAGTCATTGATTAACTTAAAATGTCGATTTTTACCTTTTCATTTCCTATCTCTCTCTCTCTCTCTCTCTATTACAACCCCAGTTGTAGAGATATTGAACCCATTGTTATCATAGTTTGAAATCAAGGAAGCCTTGAAGAACATTTGTACAAAAAGTTCATCATGAAATCATCATTGCTACAATTTTTTAAACCTTGTTTTGTAATTTCTTCCACATAAGTTCCTCCTTATCTAAATGACTCATCTTCATCTTTTTCCAGCTTCAACTTCATTACAACAGTTATTATATCTGGTTAACGAAACCGAAACAAAAAACAAATCAAAAAATGTTCAATATCTAAATCCAAACCCCATATTCCAGATCATCATCGACGGATAAGAAATTCCAACAAAACCCTGATTGGAAAAAACAAAGATGACTGACAAGAAGCCATTTACCAAATCGGAAGTTATAAGTGGTTTCGATTTTCATAGATAGAAGATGATTAGAGAAACCAGAAAGGAGTACGAATCATACTTGAGAGAGCTTATCGATTTCTCAAGAACCAACCTGCAATAACAACAAAATCCTTTAAAAACTCCCACGTGAAGTGCTTCAATGACAACATCGATTCAGTCGCCTTCGGTTCAGAGTAATAGGAGAAGAGGATATGAGGGATGGGGGTGGGTGTGGGATTTGATTTCAGTTTCAGAAAGAGGCAAACAAAGTTTTTGATTTGGATCTTATGGAGGATCCGATACACTTTAGGATAAACATACAAAAAAACAATTTCCAGAAGGAAAACACATATACACATACATAAATCGATTGTAGATTGGATTTTGTGGGATTTCTTTCAAGAGAGATTTCCGTGTGTATGTATGTTCAGTAGAAATATGGTGGAGTAACCAGTGAAATTAGAGAGAGAGAGAGAGAGAGAGAGAGAGAGAGAACGGAGGGGGTGGGGGTGGGGGTGGAGAATTTTTTTTTTGTTTCTTTTTTTTTAAATCAAAATATCATTAAAATACTTATAGAAAAAAGAAAAGAGAAATTAAAATAGCATAATAGTCTTTTTAAGTTTTTTTTGAACAAAAAACTCAAAAAGACCTTGATTTTATACCTTCCATACAAGTTGAAAACGTGTTTTATATGTACCATAATTGTTTGGTGTACCCAGAAAGTGGATAAACTTATGTGTTTGATTATTTTTTTTGTTTTTTACGTAAATAAGGAGATAAATTGAGTAACAACCGGATATATATGTGTGTTTTTGTATCGATGGCCATTAGTCTGGTAAGGTTGTTGAGAAGACACTCAATTTTATTAATGACATTATACTATTCAATTTAAAAACGAACACACCTAACGTTAAACTATTCAATTTAAAAATAAAAAACACCTAAATAAATAATTGAACATGAACCAACACACCTTGATTGTCCTCACAATTATGCATTCAATTTAAGATAAAATACGTCTGCAGAAATTAACATGGAGAAAATAGATTCCAAAGAAGAAGAAGAAGAAGAAGAAGCAGCCACAAGAGAAATATGGAAATATGTTTTTGGTTTCACTCTAATGGATGTGGCTAAGTGTGCGATTGAGCTTGGTATACCCGATATCCTCGAAAAACAAGAAACCCCGATGACACTTTCTGCACTTGCTTCGGAGCTTGGGTGTTCATCATCATCGTTGTATAGGATCATGAGGTTCTTAATCCAGTATAAGATATTTCAAGAAAAACCCATATCAGAAACATCCCTTGGATATGTTCAAACATCTTTGTCCCGGCTTCTAACTAGGCATGCAAAGCATAGTATGGCCGATTTTGTGCTATTAGAGAGTAGTCAGGTCATGTTAGCACCATGAAACAAGCTAAGTGCTAGGGTTTTGAGCAACGAAAACTTGCCTTTTGGAGCAGCACATGGCGATGATGTATGGAAATTTGCAGCCATGAATCATGGTCATAGTAAGCTCATCGATGATGCAATGGCTTGTGATGCTTGGGTGGCGGTCGGGGCGGTGATTGAGGATTATCCAGAGGTGTTTGACGAGCTGAAGATGGTGATGGATGTTGGTGGTAGTGATGGAACCGCTCTACGAGACTACGACTGATTGTTGAGGCTTGTCCATTGATCAAAGGGATTAATTTTGATCTGCCTCATGTAGTGTCAGTGGCTCCTGTATGTAAAGGTGTTGAACATGTTGGAGGCAACATGTTTGATCATATTCCAAAAGGTGATGCTACTTATCTAATGGTTAGTAAATTTATTTAAAGTCTTTTAGTAAAACCTACCTATTTACCGATTGCTGATTAATATAGTAGAACGGAAGGGTGGTTTCACAAAATTTTCCAAGTGGTAGACAAATATAAACACACACACACATACACACACACACACACACACACACACACATATATATATATATATATATATATATATATATATATATATATATATATAGAGAGAGAGAGAGGTGGGTTCAATTGAGAAAATAAAAAAAGTTAAGAATGAGGGAATCATTCTCAGCAACTTATTTAATATAAGCATAAAAAGACACGGTAACAAACTTGTAAATATGTTAATAACCTTTAATCTCAAATACGTAACTATAAAGAATTCGATAACAGTTCGTTCATTATCAAAAAATTTTCTCCAACCTTCAATAATCATCCAGATTTCTTCAACTAAACCGAAATTTCTTCGCTGTTCATGAAATTGGAATCAGAGTTCTAGACTCGCAGTCACAGTCGACATTGAAGGACTCAGAATCGGTACTCACAGGTTCCTAATTGGATTTTCGGAAATCAAAATCAAAATGAGAAATCGATCAGACATAGGATGTCGCATCTGAAGTTGAAATCGGAAGTATATGATGATTTGGAATTGATAACTTGATGTTTTTAACCTTTTTAACATAGTTAACTTGTATGCACTCAAATTGTTTGATGAAATGCATAAACTAAATTACCACGTTATATTCACATATGAATATGTTTTCTCATCTGAATCAGTATATGATTATTAAAAACACAAAACAGATATGCAAGATCGTATGTTATTCATATGTGAATAACATATAAAAATTATATATATTTGTCAAAATACCTTCAAATATTCATAAGTGAATATATTCACAAGTGAATATACCTTGTAATATTCATATGTGAATATATTGTGTAATATTCATATGCGAATATATCATCTAATATTCACAAGTGAATATACTATGTAATATTCACATGTGATATACCATGTAATACTATGTAATATTCACATATGAAATATCATTTAATACTCATAAGTAAATATACCATCTAATATTCATAAGTGAATATACTTTTAACAGCCGGGTTTCCAGGTATATATTATTTTATTTTATTATTTTGAATTATGGGAAGGAACTCGGCGAGTTGATGCGTAGACTCGCCGAGTAGGGTCGCGACTATTCATCCAGATTTGCTTTGGACTCGGCGAGTCTATGAGTGGACTCGGCGAATCTACGCTGTTTAATGAAACCCTAAATCCCTGGGTTTGGAGCCTATTTAAGGGTACTTATAGCCTCTCATTGCGGTTACCACTCCCTTGAGAGAACCCTAAGTGAGCCAAATCGTTGAAAGGAAGAAGAAGACACTTTTGATCCTTGTATCTTTGGTTTAGCAAGAAGGAGGTGCAAGAGCAAGAGGGAAGGTGCGATTCTAGCAGTTCCAGGGATTCAGAGACTTCATTTTGAGGTAATGGTTCGAACCTCCTTCTGTTTTGGTGTTGATCTATAGAGTTAGGGTTTTCTAACCCCTTTGGAGAGTGATTATGTGGAGCAAATGGTCCCTCTTCGAGTTTGTGCCTTGGATCTGGACTCAAAGAGGTCGAGAGACCTTAACCCTTGGAGGTTTATAGATTAGTTTGGAGTTATTGGACTTAGGTTGCCATTTTTGGGACTAAATCACCTTTTGATGCCTTATTGTTGTTATACAAGCATCAAGTTTAGAGCTTTACGTGACATTCATGCTTGGGAAGGTCAGATCTTTGTTTTAGGGAAACAGATCTAATCTCAGGAGGCCAGTAGAGTTTGTGCATGGCATGAGCTCGCCGAGTTGTTCTTGAGACTCGGCGAGTAGGGTCAGGGTTTCACGTAAATTGCTCAGTAAATAGGCTTGTTCAGTTAGGGGATGACTCAGTGAGTCAGAAGGGAGTTAGAGGACTGGAGTTTAAGGCGACACTCGCTGAGTTGTTCTTGAGACTCGGCGAGTTGAGTTGTGGTGGCCCCGCGATTCATGCCTAGTATGAATTGTCAAGATTAGGGAGGGACTCGGCGTGCCAAGCGGGACAAAGTGTTAAAGGATATGTGTGAACTCGCCGAGTCACCAGAGTGCACTCGGTGAGTAGGGTCAAAGTGTGACCATTGACTTTTAAGGTTTGGTCAATGGAGTACTTGTGTTGAGAGGGGGGATAAAATAGCCTTTTTCCCTCCCGAGGGTGCCAGAGGCAGGTTGAGTCTAGTCTTGAGAATTATATTTATAAGAGTATTTATTTTATGTGAATAGGCGAAGATTAGGCAGTATTCCTACCGAGTCAGAGATTTACCGAGATGCCTGAGGTGAGTCTTCTCACTATACTTTACCTAGTGTGGTAACAGAGTTATGTGATAGAGTATTTTAGAGTTATATGCCAGCGTAATTGCATGTTATTTATGTGCTATGATTTATTGTGATATGTGCTATGTATGATTCAGAGTTACAGAGTTAGGACCTACTGGTCCACAGAGTTAGGACTTTCGGGTCCATAGAGTTAGGGTCAGAGGGCCCATAGAGAGTTGGGGCTGGAGGGCCCTACTGAGACACATAGACCTGAGGGTCAATAGAGTTACAGCCTCGAGTGGCTATTGTGTGTTAAAGTGGTATTTTGGGGAACTCACTAAGCATTTATGTTAACAGTGTTATGTGTTATGTGTTTCAGGTACCAGCAACGATCGCGGGAAGGTGCCGGCATGATCCGTACACACACACACACACTAGAGTTTTTATCTATATTTTGATCTTGGGTTTTGTATTGATACAATGTTGTTATAACGATTTGTTTATGTTTTCAAATGATATTTTATGGGTTCAAAAGTGAAAAATATTGTTCAAATTTTTACGGCGTTACGAGTTGGTATCAGAGCCTTGGTTTGAGGGATTCGGATATATCTTCGGGCGTATCTGAACTCAAAATGGGGATTTGAGGAAACTTTTAATAATAAAAATAAAAATAATATTTTTGAAAAAGAGTAAAAAGAGTTTTGAGACAAACAGAGCAGAGTCGTGTGTACGATCAGCCAGCGCCTGAACGGTGATTTCCCAAAATACCCTCCTAATAAGTGGATATCAGATATGTTATGTATGCTATATGATGAGTTACGATATGGATGATAGAGTAGAATAGGTATTCTTATTAGGACTAGAGTGGCCTGATACATGATGCCTTAGTCTAGGGGTTTTGCTACTAGAGATGCTTAAGAGTGATTTAGATAGCAGCGAGGTGCTTATGAGAGTTTTGCTAGTGAGTAGCACATGATAGAAAGTGTAGAGTACTTGGGATTTGAGGCTCAAGGAGGAGGACTTGGGATGAATGCCAACGCGGTATGGATGGTAGTATTGGGCCCGTACTACTGAAGATATCGGGTTGGTACGCAGCCCAAGTAAGAATCCTTTGGGCACCAAGGAACGAGTAGGGTGGAGTTATCGAGTGTATTTATACTCAAAAAGGGTCTCTAATATTCTTATGTTGTATTTCAGAAGGAGACCATGGTTGGGACGCGCCACACACAGTGATCGGCAGTTCGAGTGATGATGAGATCCGTAGGATCATCCAGGAGGAGGTGGCTGCGGCCATCAGGGCAGAGATACCAGAGATGTTCGGGTCTAGCAAGACCACTCTGATGGATACATTTTATGAGAGATATGCTGCTCTTTCTGAGGCTGTTGTTGTTGCAGCCACTGCAGCTATAGCTGCGACTAGGCCGCAGGGTGGTAATGCGTTGTTGTTCCGAGAGTTCAGCAACACAAAACCACCGGAGTTTGACGGGACCTAGGACCCGATCGCGGCGATGAGATGGATTTCTGACATAGAGGGGTGTTTCTTTACTTGCTCATCTCCAGAGCATTTGAGAGTTCGATTCGCACTGAACCAGCTTCGCTTGGGAGCGAAGGACTGGTGGAAGTTTGTGACTGCGCACTTTACGCCTGCTGAGCTTGCTGCGGTGACCTGGGAGAGGTTCACTGCTATGTTTCGAGATGAGTACGTTCCCCAGATGGAGAGGGAGCGTTTGGCCCATGCGTTTCTGACCCTCAAGCAGGGTACTGAGTCAGTTACGGTGATTACAAGGATGTTTCATGAGCGGGTGATGTTCTGCCCAGAGCACGTGTCCTCCGAGTAGGCACGCATGAGTCGATATTTAAGCATTCTAAGGAGGGATATACGTGAGTTCGTGGCAAACTCAAAGTATCGGACATTTGCCGAGCTTCAGGCAAATGCCCGGAAGAGGGAGATAGAGTTGGAGACCCAAGTCAAGGAGGAGGCTGAGTCTCAGGGAAAGGATCAACGGCCGGCTCAGTCTAAGTCGGCAGCGAAGCGGGTCAAATCCGCTGATTCGAGATCCGGGAACCAGAAGGGCCACAGTTGTGGGAAGTGCAGCAAGAGCCACGAGGGGATTTGCAGAGCAGGGTCTTACTACAAGTGTGGCAAAGAGGGGTACATGGCCAAGGATTGCCCTAAGGGTTTTTCAGTCTGTTTTCATTGCAACCAGACTGGACATCGGAAGGCAGAGTGTCCACAGTTGCAGGGGTTAGCACAGGGAGCATCTCCGGGATCAGCCCCTACTGCGGTGAGAGCTGCAAAAGTTCAGCCTGCGAAGGTTGAAGCACCAAAGGCATGTGGGAGAGCCTTCTAGTTGACTGCGGAGGAGGTCTGCGCAGCGCCCGATGTCGTGGCTGTTATGTACTCTTTCATGTATTTTATTAGATTCTATGATGATTGTGCTGATATTATGTTATGCGTAGGTACCTTCCTTGTGAATTTTGTACCTGCTTTAGTGTTATTTGACTCGGGTGCGAGTCGATCTTTTGTATCGTTGGC